GGTGGCTCGGGCATCTGTTTCGGATGCCTCCTGGGCGCCTTCCTAGGGAGGTGTTCCGGGCATGTCCCATCGGGAGGAGGCCCCGGGGAAGACCCAGGACATGCTGGAGGGACTATGTCTCTCGGCTGGCCTGGGAACGCCTCAGCATTCCCCCGGAGGAGCTGGAGGAAGTGTCTGGAGAGAGGGAAGTCTGGGCATCTTTGCTTAGACTGTTGCCCCCGCGACCCGGTCCCGGATAAGCGGAGGAAAATGAATGGATGGATGGACTCCGCCTTTTCCCTGTTCATATTTCTCCTAACTACAAATCTGGCATTATGTCTGATCCAAGGTTATAAACTATGAACCTATTGCAGCTCAACATTCATAATGCAATAATGCTTACCTGCTCCAGGAGCTGCTGATCCAGTTCTACAGAGGAATCATCAAGTCTGTTCTCTGCTCATCCATGATTGTCTGGTTTGGCTCAGCAACCAAACAGTACAGGAATAGAGTCCAGCCCTCAAAAGGAGGGCAGAGAAGATTTCTGCAGACCCCTCACACCCTGGACACACACTGTTTGAACCCCTCCCCTCTGGTCGGCGCTACAGGTCACTGTACGCCAAGACAACCAGACACAAGGACAGTTTCTTCACTCGGCCTGTCACTCTGATGAACAGTTAACTATGACTGAGGTGACAGGACATGGCAACCACCGCAGTGTAATAATTGTAAATAGTACAGGTACATGCACCATTGGATAGTTCGAAATGCGTATATATGCATGTAAAGTTTATGAATGCTGCCTCTCCTCCTTCTCCCATGCTTCCCCTACCTTTGACTGCACTATTGTCTGTTACCTAAAACACACAGAGCCTCTATGCTGGAGATGAATTCCTTATATACTCAACTTGGTGATCAAAGCTGATTCTGATTATAATGTATGGATTCATACAGAAAGAATGTTTTTCTAATTCAGTCTGAACTGTTCACAGCATAGCAGTCGACCATGTCGACATAATTCACTTGTAAGCAACAAAAGAGTAAACAAAAGTCTGCGAACTACTGTAAATTCCTGCATTTTATAAATACAGGGTGAAAAGTGAAGGCGTCTTCCTTGAAGCACCTGGTGGCCTGCAAAGTGGATGTGTTATATGGATGGCAAGTAATTCTTTACTCCACTGTCTTTGTGTCCACCTTCGTGAACACTGAAGGTTAGTTTTCACTTTGGAGAAGTCACAGCTGCTGGTTCCTCTCCTAGTGTTCTTCCTCTCTGTACATACAGGTCATCCTCTTTGTTGGTGTATTTGTATTTTGAAGAGCCAATACGCTCTGCCACAGGAACAGTACTTCACCAATACTTCAGTTTATGTGAGGCACCTGTGGGAACCAAAACTCACAGATTGAGTGCAACCACATGGCCTTGGTGCTGCCTACTGTTAACTCTGTATATTTATGCATCTTCACCACTGACATTTGAAAGGCTGGATGTCCAACAGCTACTGGGATTCATGATCACAAACAAAACAATGTCATAAAAAAGTGTGACTAAAGTAATTTTGAGTATAATCATGTATATATGTGACATCAGTACAACATTAAAACATACTGCACCGAGTGTTTGGTGCCTAGTAGCTTTAATAAAAATACAGGGTACGGGGCACCTCGAGTGTGATTGAGTGACAAAGGCAGGCTACAGGATCCAGCTGTGATAGACAGAGGTGCAGCCGCAGGTTACACAATTCTGACCTTTCATATAATGAAAATAAAAATTTGGATGATGGCATTCATAGTGCATTGTATGGGAGTTTTCCTTTAAGCACCCCAACACTACAAAACCACAAAGGGTGGCAGAAGACTGGTGATACAAAATCCCTACAATAAGGTAGCATTTTTCAGTATAAGCACAGACTAATTTAACTGGATAAACTGGAAACCAGCGCCATTAAACACACATCCTCCTCAAAAACAGTCTCCACATGTTCAGTGTTACTTAACTCTCTGTTCAGTCCTATCCCAGATATTTTGCAAAATATCAGAACATTTCCAACCGTCTCCTAACACACTTTTATTTTGTAAGTCTCATTTTCAACCTGATGGCGTAGGCAGACAAGGGGCGGGGCTCCTACATTTAGTGATTTTTTTTTTTCCTCAGGGATCGACCGGGATCAGATTCTGGATCAGTCTCTGGATGCGGTCTAAGATGATCTGGTTGGAACTGCTGCAGTCTTCAGGTCCATACGGGGCCCTGATGGTCAAGACCCCCGCCACCCTCAGCTTGTCGTCTTCCTCCTCCACAGGGACACGGTTCTTCTCCAGCCAGCTCTGGATGACACCTCTTCTCTTCCTCAGGTCTTCGGGGTCCAGGCCACAGGTCTTTGGGGGGAGAAAAGAGGCCTGGAGGCGGTCTGTGGTCTCCTCATCAGCCTCTTGCTGGATCTGCACCTCCTCTACAGCATGACCCATCACGACCTGCACCGATGCTCCCCCATCCTCTTTGAAATCCATCAGGACCAGACTGTAGGAGGAACAGAACCACAGAGTCAGACTGGGCCATACCAGATCTGGATTCAGACTGAAACAGTTTGAGTTCTGACACCTTTAAACTAACAGCAGTACCACTGTGTACAAGTACTCAGCTAGCAGTAAAAGTACTGCAGTCAAAAGGCTAGTCTGAGATGCACTGCATCTCGCCTGGAAAGTGAATAAGAGCAGGCGGCAGCAGCACAGGGCAGTGGGAAAAGCTGTGGTCAAGGCAAAGAGTTTAGGAGCTTTCCAGCAGCGTTCAGTCTCTACAGGAAGTCACAGAAACTCACATCACGTTTGGTTGGATCCACATTTAATAAAATGTCATCAAACCAAAGTTTTCAGCTTCTTTTCTGGGTCCAACAGTTGTTTTAATGACAAGGAAAGTGAAATGCTGATTGCTATTAATCTCCATATTACTCAAATATTGTGCGTGAAAATGAATTTTCATACGCCACCATTACGTGTCTGTGTGTCCTCCCTCTCTCCCCTAGTGTCGCCTCCTTCTCTCCCCTAATGTCTCCTCTCTCTCTCCTGTAGTGTCGCCTCCTTCTCTCCCCTAGTGTCTCCTCCCTCTCTCCCTCCCTTAGTGTCTCCTCTCTCCCTCCCGTAGAGTCTCCTCCCTCTCTCCCATAGTGTCTCCTCCCTCTCTCCTGTAGACTCCTCTCTCCTTCCCATAGTGTCTCCTCCCTCTCTCCTGTAGACTCCTCTCTCCTTCCCGTAGCGTCTCCGCTCTCCCTCCCATAGTGTCTGCTCCCTATCTCCCCTAGTGTCTCCCCTCTCTCTCCCTCCCCTAGTGTCTCCTCTCTCTCTCTCTCCCTCCCCTAGTGTCTCCTCTCTCTCTCTCTCCCTCCCCTAGTGTCTCCTCTCTCTCTCTCTCCCTCCCCTAGTGTCTCCTCTCTCTCTCTCTCCCTCCCCTAGTGTCTCCTCTCTCTCTCTCTCCCTCCCCTAGTGTCTCCTCTCTCTCTCTCTCCCTCCCCTAGTGTCTCCTCTCTCTCTCTCTCCCTCCCCTAGTGTCTCCTCTCTCTCTCTCTCCCTCCCCTAGTGTCTCCTCTCTCTCTCTCTCCCTCCCCTAGTGTCTCCTCTCTCTCTCTCTCCCTCCCCTAGTGTCTCCTCTCTCTCTCTCTCCCTCCCCTAGTGTCTCCTCTCTCTCTCTCTCCCTCCCCTAGTGTCTCCTCTCTCTCTCTCTCCCTCCCCTAGTGTCTCCTCTCTCTCTCTCTCCCTCCCCTAGTGTCTCCTCTCTCTCTCTCTCCCTCCCCTAGTGTCTCCTCTCTCTCTCTCTCCCTCCCCTAGTGTCTCCTCTCTCTCTCTCTCCCTCCCCTAGTGTCTCCTCTCTCTCTCTCTCCCTCCCCTAGTGTCTCCTCTCTCTCTCTCTCCCTCCCCTAGTGTCTCCTCTCTCTCTCTCTCCCTCCCCTAGTGTCTCCTCTCTCTCTCTCTCCCTCCCCTAGTGTCTCCTCTCTCTCTCTCTCCCTCCCCTAGTGTCTCCTCTCTCTCTCTCTCCCTCCCCTAGTGTCTCCTCTCTCTCTCTCTCCCTCCCCTAGTGTCTCCTCTCTCTCTCTCTCCCTCCCCTAGTGTCTCCTCTCTCTCTCTCTCCCTCCCCTAGTGTCTCCTCTCTCTCTCTCCCTGTACCTTTCTACAGGTTGCCCTGGAGCTCTACATCTCTGATGAGCAGTCACCAGCCACATCAACCTGCCCAGTGTCTAATTGTTGTTGTGTCCTGTTGCCACAGGGCAACTTCAGTAATTAAACTTGAGCAGCTTCTCGGCATTTTCAGAGCCAAACAAAACAGCCTGTTTGACAAGACCTTTGAGAGACGGCTCATGTTTCGTATTGTGATGACTATGCCAGCCAGCGGGAGGGTTAGTGACAGCGGCAAGCATTATGCGAATGTGTAAATAGTTAGCGTAATATTGTGGTATAATCCTGAGTCATTGTGTTTTACGGTCCTTGTTATTGTTGTACTTTGAGGGGTTAAAAATACTGTTGGGTTCATGCTGTGTGTGTTGGGTTGCATCGAGCATTCGGTGCTCGAACCTGTTGACTGCTGTTCGATTGGAAGTGTTTCGCTGTATAATGCCTGCCGGAGGTCACTACAATTGGTGTCAGAAGTGGGATGCGTTCGCCGTGGGACGCTGGCGCCATCCGCCCGGACCGGTGTCTCGCTCCGTCGTAGCATCCCTGTTCTCAAGCGCTCTAGGTGGCGAGTATTCTCAAAAACCTCTCTCTCTATCTCCGCTAGGCTCCTCTCCATAGTGGCGTTCGACTGAACGACTTTAAATCCCACTTCTGACACCAATTGTAGTGACCTCCGGCGCGGAGGAGAGGAGCGAATCCTAACTGTGCAGCTAACTAGCTAGCGGGGTGCTAGCACCTACGTAAGGCTAACACTGTTACGACCGGGCTCCGTGCACCGCACAGCTTTAACAATCCCTCGAGGATCACACCTTCCCCTTATGTCACTGGCACAGTGTGCACCCTCACCCTGAAATGCTCTTCAGTGGCGTAATTCACTGTTCTCACATCACAGCAGTCAGCCAGCTCTCTCTTGTCTTTATTTTCTCAGTCACCGGCAACAACAGACTAACACACACAGGCATAATACAGCGAAACACTTCCAATCGAACAGCAGTCAACAGGTTCGAGCACCGAATGCTCGATGCAACCCAACACACACAGCATGAACCCAACAGTCATTTTTAACCCCTCAAAATACAACAATAACAAGAACCGTAAAACACAATGACTCAGGATTATACCACAATATTACGCTAACTATTTACACATTCGCATAATGCTTGCCGCTGTCACTAACCCTCCCGCTGGCTGGCATAGTCATCACAGTATAAACAAGACCTCATCCTCAGACAAGTAAAAAAGACGGGCCCGTTATTTAGACCAGTGTTCCAGCAGTTCATACCATCTAAACAGGTGTAACTTGAAGACTACTTTTAAGACTGTACAAGTCAGATGGTACAAGACTGACCAGTACAACAACAGGCCCATTTTTTAAACCAGTACTCAAGTCCATCCAACGGACAGAAAAGGTGCAATTTAAATACTTTTTGCTTTGCCGTTTTAGTTGTAGTAAGATAAAACAAAACCCATATTTATCTTAAAACAACAAAAATTATAACATTTCCTCCAGTTTAGCCCTTGTGAAAAGGTGGGACTGTGATTTCAGGCAGGTTTAGGTCACGTGATAAACTCAGCAGACGTGACTTTTTGGTTTATATTTTGTACCACATTGTCAATTTGCTTTATTTATTTATTTATTTATTTTTACCAAGAAGTTTAACCTACTTTTCCAACGTAGCCTAGTTCTAGGAGCCAGAGTTCTTCCGGTCTGCACTGAAGTAAGGTGAACTGGTTGTAAAGCTGCCTTTTTAAAACTCTGGTAACCCAGCTGATGCACCTGTGTTCAGTTTCCTCTGGAAGGCTGTGTTACCTGGCAGACACGGGGTCCACGGTCAGCAGCCAGCCCCACAGCACTTCGTCTTTTCCCGCCTTCACCTTCACGTGCTTGTTGACATAAGTGATCCACCGCAGCGGACCTAAAAGAGGCCAGCGGCACTGCATCGTGGCCCACGTAACTATTAACGGCTATGATCAAATAGAAAATAACAACCAATACACACCAACACTGACTTGCTGCTTCACGAACTTAATCCCTCGGTGGAAACATCAGACCAAAACAAACGTTCCGTCTTCATTTTATTGTCCGAGGACAGCCACTACTGCCCCCTGCAGGAGGGGAGTAGAACACAATGAAATTAAATACAGTAGCATTTGTAATAATTACATTCAAACAAAACCGGCATAAAAATAAAATACAAACAACTGGGTGTTTAGTTTAGCTCCTCTGATAATTGATACAATTATTTTGGCCCAAAATAAATAACATAAAACATTCGGCACAAAATTTATTTTGAAATTTTGACAAAGTACTCTGTGCTTTGATGCATGTAACCTATGGATGTATTATATTTAGCCTAGTTATGCATTATAAAGATTACATCCATGCTGTAACCAAGAAGAATGGTGGAACATGCTATATTTTTTTATGAAAGTCATTAAAGTTGAATCAAGAAAGAATTAAACATCCATCCATCCATTTTATTTCGCTTATCCGAGATTGGGTCACAGTGGCAACAGGTTCAGCAATGTAGTGTAGATAACTTTTTCCCCGGGAACGTTTTCTAGCTCCTCTGGTAAGACTGAGGTGTTCACGGGCTGGATGGATATACTGGATTTCTGGGTCAGACAGGTGAAGTAGTTTCTCTTATTAGATCCCAGAAATATTCTGTAGTCTAAACCTTTCTAATACATGACTGGGTGTATCCAGTGCTACTTGAAGTCAATAAGATTTCATTTTAAAGTTTAAAGAACAAAACAGAACTGCATCATAAAGTCTGTATTTGTGAATAGCGATGAAAATGAGGGGACAATGTGTTTTAACGCGCAGAACAATGGAACAAAATGGCTCAAATATTTTCTCAGCCATTATTCAAGAGTACCTGCTGCAGACAAAATGGCAGACCTCCGTAGCTGACAGGAAAGCACATGCCTCCGTACCTGAAGTTGGTCCGTTTTCTTTTTCCCCTTCCCCAGATACATATACAGTATCTCTCTCTCACACACACACACACACACACACACACACACACACGGCATAAAAAGCTTATTCACTAGAAACACATAAGGATCCAGCTGTGATTAAAACTGTGAACTAAGTCAGTTCAGTTTTAATATTTTTATAGAATATTAACATACACAGAATAAATTGTAACTATATATAATTACATTTGCAATTAGTGCACATTTTAAAAATAGGTCCAATGTAAAGTCAGTTCAGTAAGTCTTTAAAAAAAATCACCTGTTCTTTTAAATGTTTTGTGTAACGTTTAAATCCAGTTTATTAATTACACAACATACTATACAAAGCAAACAGGCTAAGTGAAAGACCCCTGTGAGCTACTGATTAAAGACAATTATCCTTAACGGTTATGCCGTTGTTGACAACCAGAGCCCATGATGGTGTAAAAGAACAGGCCACCACACAGCTGAAATATCGGTATCATGAACATGGGGCCTCTCAGCTGAAGACTATCACCAAGTGCAGTTCATAAAAGGCCTAGTTATTATTTACCTTTATTTTCACCTGGTCGGCGGAGAGGCTGCCTCTCTTTTTCAGGAGTGCCTTGATCACATTCACAACATTGTACAACCACAGACCGGCCCCTAAGTAGCTCCACGTGAGCAGAGGTTAAGGGCCCTGCTCAGGGGCACCTGTGAATGAGGCCTGCACAATGCTGTGAATGCAGAGCTGCTCGGGGGCCACAGGCTAGTCTGATTAACACTGCAATTAAATCTACCCCACCCAGATTTAATGGTGCCAGTCTGGGTCCTGAACCTTCCAATCACAAGCTCACTTCTCACTAAATACATTACAGAGCTGATTCCCCCTAAATGACGACTGCAGTGAGGCTTTGGTAATTGGGCCTTGAACAACACATTTTCTCTCCTTTTTTATTTATTATTGGCTGTTTCTGACAAAACAACTTGCAGCTAACAATCCATAACTGATGACATACGGTACATGAGGAAAACACTGAACACATTGAGGAGGTCAGATGTCAAAGATCTGACCTACTGCACTTTGTGATGCTGAGAGAACACCCAGTAAAGAACAAGAATGTTCAAGGCAGAATGTCTGCAAAATATCTTTGACTTTGGAAAAGGAGTCCTCAGGCCAGACAGAAAATCCTCAGAGTCAAACCCAGATCAGATCAGGTCTGCAGATTTCACCAGAGGAAACAATGCATCAGAACGAGAACAGCTCCGAGCCCTCGTCTGATTCCCGATGACTGAACTCCTCAATAAAACCCTTCAACTGTTGAGTTCCAGATGACCGTGTGTCCTTAAACGCACTGGCTCATCTTGACACACCAGGTACTGTATGAACATTACAAACACACGATGCCTCTGTGGCCAACATTATCCTCTGATAAATGATCTAAATAAATGGCCATTAGTGATCAGACCAGGGAACTTCAGTGGACAGTGATGTTTTTATTAACTAAACATGTATCGATAACATCTGCCATTATTATCAGGAAACCGCAACTCGTGTCTCCAACTGTATAAAAACAAACACATTCTTCACAAGATTTTTTTTGTTGTGTCCCAACATGCTCGTGGAGTGCTCATCATCGACCGCAGCTCACTCAGCAATCCACGGTTTTTACATCTCTGTTTTGGTCCCTGCTGACACAGCTCCACTTTAAACATAACAACACACCTACTGAACTCAGTCAGTTGTTCTGTGTGCACATGAGCTTTTACTGAGGCAAACTGAAAAAGATGCAAGCAAACATAATTTATAGGTTTAGGGTGAACTGTTCCTTTAATGAGTCTCAGTGTTTTTGGCACTTTTTTAACCCCCAAGTAAAACTAGAAACTGAAGAACACAAACATACTGAGATACATTCATATGACAAACACACACACACACACACACACACACACACACACACACACACGGGTGATTATGTGACACCTGGTCAACGACATCATCACTGCATTCACCTGAACAGTCTGATGTCGCTGAGTGGCAGGGGCACTGCTCAAACAACAAACCTGATATTCACAGAATAAAGACTGAATATGTAAAGAATGAAGTACCCTGATAGTAGTACACATTTGCTCCCAAAGTATTAAAACGACTTTATCTCATAAAATTAGAACTTAATTCTCACAATACTCAAACCGGTCATAAAATTTCCAATGTACACCTCTAATGTTAAAGGTCATGTGGAGAAATGATGAGCGTGCCTCACACACTGCAGCCCTGACATCATGAAGGGTCTGACCATCAGCTGTTGTTGTTTACATTAAACACAAACACAAGTAAACAGGAGGTTTGCTGCCTCATTACCACAAACCAACCGCAGGGGTTCAGAAAAAAATCAACATGTGGACTGTTTTCAATGGCGTCCAGAAGAGATCCAGCTGAGTGTGTGTGTGTGTGTGTCGGGAGAAGGGGTCATGTGATACTTAGTCGTCTTTTGATTGGTGGAGGTCCAGACTGACGACCTGCAGCTCCGTCAGGTTGTTGCCGCTGCTCTGCTGACTGATCACCATCTGAATCACAAACACAAAACATCAGGAGGACTTCTGCAGCAGTATCTATAGCATCACAAGTATTAGTACTGTGCTGTACTCAGTGCTGTCGTACCGGGTGGAGCTGTACTGCAGACACCGGGATCTGAGCAGCGACCGGAGGGAGCGAGGTGAGGAAGACCTGTGGGACAGTGCCTGACAGACGACATAACTTTATTCCATTAAAAACCTAGAACTTTATTACAACAAGCCAACACTAACATAGCTGACAGTCATGACTGAAGTATCTGACCCGAAGACAATACAACCAATGGCCTGAGGCCTGTATAACTGATACAACCACCATAGACACAGAGCACAATGCATCATATTCTGAAAACCACACCCACCAGGGAAAACAAATCCTCACTCTCCACTGACTTTGTATTGAGTGAAGGTGTCTTTTTGACAATTTTGTCTTTTTACAAAAAAGGAACAATGCCTAAAGGCTGCTGTGTGACACGATATACTGCCAAAAAGGCAAAGAACCCAGAGTTATAGTTTTAAAAGCCACTGAGCAAAAAACAGTGAAGCTTTAAGAAGACAAAGGATACGACGTGTTGCATTAGCAGGATCAACAGGGGGAACAGGGATCCTGATACTCGCTGTTTGTCTGTGTGCAGCAAACATCTTATGTTTGCAGGTGCATTAGCTAACTACAGTAGCAGGGAAGACTATTCCCAAAATATATACCTGATCTAGAGGGAAGCTGGGGTGCAGATAACTAAAATGATTATAGGACAAGCTACTTCAGTGTTAGCCAGCTACTGTAGTTAGCCAAGGCACTTGCAAACATGTGACTGCATAGCTTGGATGTACTGTGAAAGTGATTTTGTTTAACTTACAGAAATATGGTAAAAGATAAACTGACATGTGGATATTTGACTTAACACTGAGAAAATGCTTGCTGCTCAGAAAGGCGTATCGAGTGTGAGGATCCCGTCCTTCCTGCCAATGCCTCACTTTTATCTTCTCAAAGCTTCACTTTGTTCAGTTGTTTTTAAAACCATCGCTCTTACCTTGTCGGTAGTGCAGCCAGTCACACAGCAGCTTTTAGATATGTTTCAGTTTTCTGTCAAAAGACCCCCCCCCCCCCCCCGCGCCTAAATGCACTGTCTCTAAAATTACTTGTGGTGATCAATAACAGCATGGATATAATAACCTATAAATCATAGAACTGGGGTTGTACCAGGGTCATGTGACTGGGCGTGGCCTGTCGGGGGGAAGGTGTTGAGGACAGTGAGGCTGCCATCACCCAACGAGGGTGACGATGTGGCGTACATCACTGTGTGACCACCGGGGTACATCATGTGACTGGTTACTGAAGAAGAGGACGAAGAGGTGGGAGCAATGGCGGCAGGAAGACTGGCTGCAGAGAGAAAGGATAAATCAGGGTCACATGTTCCAATCAGAACAGTTCACCACTGTTACGCTCAAGGCCCTCCAGTTTTTTCAGTGCCAGTCATTTTCTTTAGCTGTTTCATCTCCTGACTGTACCCGTTTCCAGATGCTTAAAATATGTTGGGGAGGTCTCACTCAACACAAAATATTCTAGTTCCATTATGTATTAGCATGCATCATGATGTTTGGTGGGTTATTTGAAATGTTTGGACAGGACAGCATTCAAAATGTCTGGGTTTGTTAGTGGTTGCTATGACTTAATTATTGAGTGGTAACAGCCAGAGTCATCAAAACAGTAGAAGGTAATGAAGGATGTGTTGGGCGTGTGGGTGCAGGAAAGGAGGGGGGTGGCTCTGGGATGATGGAACACACTGTTGAGCCTTCTTGGTGTCCTGGGCCCAACTCAACGAAACACCAGTTAGTGAGAGGGTGCCCACCTGGTGACCCTGTAGACCAGCCTTCACTCCAACACCCACACAGAACTTGTTGGTGATAACACACTCAGAGTCAGAGTGGAGAGACTTTCTGATATGTGCACAGTATAATAGGTTCGGACTGGAGAATAGCGTTCCAGGGTCAAGGTCAAAGTGTTTATTGTCATATGCAGTTAGGAAACGTGTTTCCCTGTACAATGAAATTCTTACTTTGCCGTCCACATGAATGCCACAAAATACAAATGAAATATAAATAACATACACAGCAGCCAAAATCTAAGGCACCTTAAGCAGTAAATGCAGCAATATAATAAAAATATATAAGAATATAATAAGAGAATGTATGCTGCACAGGAGCAGCATGTGCAGCAGTCAATGTGCAATTATGTATGTGCAAACTGAGAATGTAAACAGTACATGATGTATTTCCTGGTAATAAACTCCTCAGCTGTTTAGGAGTCTGATGGCAGAGGGAAAGAAAGAGTTTTTCAGTCTAGTGGTCCTGCATTTCACACTCCTGAACCTCCGGCCAGAGGGTAGGGAGGTGAACAGTC